TGTCATTAGCACCTCTAGTAATATATTTACTGAGAACAATGGTGACGTGTTCAATACTTATTTTACCCGCTGTATATCAAACAAATTATGTGTATTTGCACAAAGTATCGGTATTGTATCAGTATCACCAATACCATTTTTACCTGGTATCAGAGTCAGAAAGTAAATTGATGTATTGAACATCACTAATGAAAAAGATTTTCATCTTCCCTGAAAAACACATTTATGATGAATTTTGGTCTTTTTTTAAATCTTAAATAAAAAATATTGATGTAAATAAACATTTTAGGCACTGATGTTCTTTGTTGTCCTGTTTAATGAGAAACTCTAATACTGTATTGCGTCCACTCCAACACTTAAATTTGCTTAAATTTAGTCCATATAATAATTAAACAAAGGTAGTGGGACATGTTTTCACTCTCTCATCAACAAACAGAAGTTAGTCACTATCTGTAACGTACCTGACCTGTGTTGCTCTCCAACAGGTGGGAACGGGTACATTAACGACTATCCGATGGGGCGGTTCCTGCGAGACGCAAAGCTCTACGAGATCGGCGCGGGCACAAGCGAAGTCCGCAGGATCATCATCGGGCGAGCCTTCAACTCAATGTTCAAATAGATAAAACCGACAGATAAAAGTGAGGGTTTGTTGTGAATGAACAGATACTGTCACCCAGGACCTTACTGTCTGAGCTGTCGCTGCCATCAATATCACCATTTTAATCCTTTATAATCTACAATGAATCGAGAATCAACAGTGATGTTACAGCCCGAATGGCAGCAGCCAAAGCAAATTAAAAATGTTTTTGTTTTTAGCTTAGCTGTAGTTTCATTTTCAGTCACTTAAAAGGTTATTTAAAATGAATTAGCCTGATCTAGGTGGATGTTAAAACACTCCTCACAGCCTTACAACCTCTCCGGCTTAAACAGGAAATTAAATGAGACAGTTTTTTTTTTTTCTTGAAGCTTTAGTCTGAGCACATGAAGCCTCAGAGTTGCTTTAGTTTCCATTATTTTATGTGCAAAACAAACAAAAATCTAAATTTCCAGTCTAATCTCCCCCTGTGAATAAACTGTTTCAACATAAAATAACTATTTCATATCTGAGTGAACTCTTTATGAATGTTATTGCAAACTGAGATGATTCATAAGAAAAGTTGGTCAATGTAATATTAGAATATTTTTGTTTACTGTACAAAGAATAAACAACTATTGTCAAAGCTAGTTCATTGAAATCGTGCACGTTTTCTCTTCTGTAAAGAACTTTGATTCCACATTTGTTTTTATGTACTTTATGTATGAAACATATAATGTTTGGAATATATTAATTACATTTTTTGTGGTATTGTTATTTTAGTAAAGAAACAGATTATTTCACCACCATGGCTCTAAAAATATAATAAAACCATAAGAGCAGCTTCAGTGGTGGGCATGGTTGTGATAAGCTAATAGCTGCTAATTTTCTATACCACTAGCATACCAGTTAGCTTCCGCTAAATTAGGATTTGCCAACTTCAAAATGGCCAACTAACTAACAAATTATCAACAGGTTTGTGTCTGAATTATCAGTATCAGCCGGAAGAAGATGAAGTCGTGAAGCAGACTGAGGGAAGGTCTTCTTAGCGATTAGCTGTTAGTGTTAGCGAAGCTATATTTTTAGCTGGATTAAGACTTAGTGAAGCTAACTTTAGTTAGCTTTTCCCACCAGGACTTCATCTCTTGTCTCACTTATTGCTCTTAGTGAATTTTAGGAGAAAGTAATGAGACAAACTGAGCTTTAAAAGATAGATTTGAGCAACAAAACTTTCCTCTCACCTTCACAACAAAGATAAAAGTTTTAACCTAAATTATTATTGTAAAGGGAGTATGCCATAATAAGCTTGGTGTCAAGGTTCAGTTGCATTATGGGAAATGAATGGTTGTTTTTGATTGTAATTTATATGATGCAACTTAATCATGTTTCTGTATTTTTAATCTTCATGCTTTAAACATGCAGTGTTGATAAACTACAAAGCAGCTACATCTCAAATAAAAATTTCAAAATCAGTACTACTAAATACTGATAAATACTGTTAGTTTGTAAAACAAACATCAAATACTACAATATTCATAAAACCTGAAAATGATTWATTTTATTTTTTGCCAATTAACCYTAAAGTCCAGAACGATTACACGATYWGTATGCTTTTTGCTGTCATAAGGTTTAATTTCAGAGATCATTCAAATAAAGGAATCCCAATTAATTAATAGCTTTTTAAGTGTATAGTGGAGATTTCCTTTAAAGTTCAATTTGAAAATATATTCTAGATGGAAAAATTGGCACACATACAAGAGGCATAATTGTGGAGAAAATGGGAGAAATGGACCCTCTATAAGATATAAATACAGAATGAGAATGAATAGACAAATATACCAATTTGTGATTGTGAAACTGTCAAATCATACTCTCAACAGGCAGCTCCTTGTTCAATTTCTGTTTTATATGTTTGTAAAAAACAAAGATTTAAGTGGAAAAAACAAAAAAGTTAAATTATTTAAAAGGCCATTATTGCAATGGGGTAGTTATTTATTTATTCATTCATTCATTCATTCAGTACAGGCAAAAGAAGCCCATTTTCCAAAACCGTGTGGATGTTTTCCTTTCAGGATTTACTCAAAACAAACAAGCATTTGTGTTCAACCACTACCTCTTCTGCTCTGGTTAAAAAAAAAACATGCCCACTGCATGCTGGTCCAAATCCATGTCACATATTTCCCAGTTCTACRTAATCTCCACAATCATTTATACAAAAAGCAATTCTAAATGAATTAAACAGCTAATAATAATGATAAAAATAGTTCTTACAAAATGTAAATACAGTATATTTCAAAGGGTTTCTGTTTGTATTATGAAAGTAAAGATTTGATTTAGCCCATTAAACTCCTGCAGCTTCCTCTTCCTCCTGTGTGTCACGTCTCTTGTCCATCAGCTGAGATGTGTATGGTTCCATGTCCGTCTCCTCTCTGTCTCATGRGACTGTTTCAAGATGTTTGGACTTTGACGCGGCTCCTGCGTGTATCGTGCTCGGCCTTCAGTGATGAAAGATTAACTCTGCTCTCAGTTTGTTTGTTTTGTTTCTTCACCTGGAGATGGAAGAAATAACTTTTCACCTCAGACGACCGACTGGTTGTTTCCATTGCCGTTGTTGTTTCAGGAGAAAAAGAGAAGGTTTGTCAACAAATGCATCACGARGCCTCAGTAACCAGTGAACATAGAGCTTCTTGTTTCCAGAAAAAAGCAGACGGAGGGGGAGACAGCAGCTCAGACAATGATGGAACTATCCCGCTGCATTTGAATAATACATGGGTACTCTGCAGGGTGGATTTTCTGTTTGCTGGAAATAAATCAGGTGAAACACTAGAATGAGTTGAAACAAGGATTTTTCTCGCATTTTTTCTACATTTAATTATAGATTTGTTCCTCATACAAAATTTAATATTTAGATACTCAGACAGTTAATCACTTTATTTATTACCCAAAATTATCTTTAAACATCTGTTAATACTAAATACTCTAAGGAAGAGCTTAATGACATAACCAGTGGTGGGTTTGGTTCCACTATCAGCTGACAGTGGAATACATTTTTTTTGTCAAGTCGATTAGATTTTTCACTAACTTTGAAAACCACTAGCAGACCAGTTTCTGCTGAATGAGACCAGTGACAGTCGTTACATGTTTAGCATTATCTTCCACTAACTTTTTTTTTAGAGTTTAGAGTTAAACCCCAAAAAAAGCTTTGAGAGTTGGTGAAATAATGGTTTTTGTTAGTGGATTATGAGTTAGCAAAGCTAACTTTTTGGTAGCAATGTGCCCACCTCTAGACATAACTATCTGTATTATTTTTAGATTTGGTGACAATTCCATGGTAATTATGGAGCTGCTGTTGCCTTTCACCTTCGTCTCATCAACCTATCATTCTTCATCTCACAAACTTTTCGAAGCACCTTCCTCGGGTGGTTTCCACTGTTGGAGCTTTTGGGGGAAAAACACTAAAGAAAACCAGTGCTGGTTCACACAATTACATTATCAATCAAATATGTTTAGAGTAGCTATTTTTTAAAGGTACAGGTTCAAAGCATTTTCAAATACTTTTAAGAAATAAGGCAAGCCCGTCTTGAGCTTGTCTATTTTTTAACACACACTGACAAGCTTTGTCTGCAGAACCCTCCACTATTCGGTGAGCGACTCAAAGGTGTGTTTTGAATTTAAGTGATATTTTAGGATCCAACTACTCTGGTGTTACAAGACAATTCAGGATTGCAGGGTTTAAAGATAACTTTACTTCTATCCAGATGTCTGGAAGAGTTTAAAATAAAAATGCCCATTATCTTGTTGCTCATTTTCTGATAGGGCTCATGTGTGTAGCAAAGGTTGGTTGAGATGTGTGATAATGGCTWTCCAAAGCCAACAGTAGCTGCGTTTCCATTGACCATGAAAATGCGCAAACTAGAATTTTGAAAATAAATTTGCTCAATGGAAACATGTCAATTTAGAAAAAAACTTCCTTTTATCAATGTGCATTGCCACAATGCAATGCACACTACTGTGATTCGTTTCCCATCCAAGTCATCTCAACTTTGCCATGCTTCTCCTCCTGCATACTTTGTCCTAGAGCTGCTATTGTAATTTATATCTGTAAAGCTCCTGTGCCAAATGATGGCTATGTCTTTTGGTGCCTGTAAAACTTATAGTTTTTGAAATATTAATGTTTAATAAATTATAATGGCAGTCAATGGAGCCTTGTATTGGTCCAATACTGGCCCCTGCTGCATCTACACAATATGGTACTGCACCATAGTTTCATAACATTTAAACTCAGTAGTTCAGTGATTACAATATCAATATGATTGTATTTTGATGTTTTACTGTAATACTGTCTTAATATTGTCCATTGTTGGAATATATTGCAGTTTAGTAACAAATATTGCATTGGCAATGTGGCCTCTTTCTGCACACATACAAACCAACCCCTGGCACCACCCTCTGCCACAGCTCCACTGGTCTAATGGTCCATGTCATGGACTTTTGTGCGGGAGATCAGAGTTCAAAGCCCAGCTAATGCAACTTTAACAAAAAATCTCTTCAAACTTAATATTGTCACACAATTACCTTAATTACAAACACCTGCTGACGTGACAGGCACAATCTGGTATAGAAAACACATTTGGACTTGGTCAAAGTTCATTCTGCAAGTCCAATGCTGCAGGCAAAGCCATGCTACAAGGCAATGCACACTTGTTTTTACATCGTAAAAACCCATGTCTAGTCTACAATATGTTTTTGCACTAGGATGAGGTGGTTTTTTGGCCGTATCGAAATTGGTGTGTTTCGCAATTCTGTAATGGAAACCCTTTTTTCGCATCACGGGAGTCACGTGATCAACAACCGGCTGTTTCTACTGGCGAAAAAGACAATGATGAAGAAGACAACAGGAAGTAGAAGTAGTAGTAAAATCAACAAAGTAGTAAAAGAAAGTAGTAAACTCACCAACTACAATTTCCCCAAAACGCAGCATACGCAGCCACTCCCAAATATAAGGGGCTTGTCATGTGAAAGCCTCGATAAGACGCCGACGTCTCCTCTGATGGTGAGCGCTAGTGCCGTGGTAGCAATTTTGTGTTTACATCCATTGCCACCATGTTTGTAATGACTTATCACAAGAACAAACACATTCACGTGTGACTTTAATAGCTTTTCTTACTTAARGGCAACACCGCAATTGTGAAACTGTTTTTTCGACATTAACAGAATATCAACAAAGTTTTGTGCACATTTGCAATGGAAACGCAGTGATCAAGATCCCGCCCCATCAAAAGAAAAAAAATGAACTGCATTATGACATGTTATAATAATTCAATTACTATGTCATTTACACTCACCGGCCACTTTATTAGGTACACCTGTCCAACTGCTCGTTAACACTTAATTTCTAATCAGCCAATCACATGGCGGCAACTCAG